GCTGCAACATTAAAGTGATGAACACATAAATGCATCAATAAGTGTAATTGAATTATATAAATTATCCTGAAATACTGCAAAGTAAGTACTTTTACTTTTGTTACTTTAAGTATATTTTGATGCTAATACTAATGGCTGTAGTCTCTTAGTGTTTTTACAGTACATTACAAAAAAGGAGACCCATACATTTTGCTGAAATCTTTGTATGTTGTATTTTTGTGGTTATTATTTCTTCTTTTTAAAAGTCTGAAAAAGAAGCTGAAAGTAAGGGTAAACTTAAAAAATCCTAATCAGAAACTGACTGATGGGTGTTATGCAGCTGACTCTAACATTGGACTTCTTTCCAGCAACATGAACAAGCTCTTCTAATTAGCAGGTTTTAAATGTTAGACATTATCATGAAGGCCTACTTCCTCATAAATCGGGGTTCAGGGTTTTTCTCAGACTGGGGAATCCAACAGATTAGCATCAACTTCTTAGAAACAGTTGTCTATCTGACTGACAGCAGATTACAAGACAGTGTGTGTGTGTGTGTGGACTAGTGATCTAATTTGGTCAGACCTGTAGATAGAAGCAGCAATAATAGTAACAAGCAGACAGGAAGAAAGGAGGACAACTTGTCACAGACACATATAGTCTAACTGAGCTTTCTTCCAACACATTGTACAAATAACTAAATCTAACTACAACCCCTTTCACTCGGTAAAGTCAGGATTTAGATCACCATCCACCCACAAGGTGACGTGAAGGTGTTCCTGGTTGTGCTTAAATAGTAACAATAAAATATAATGCTAGTCACAGACAGATGGTGTAAAAAAGAAAAAGAAAAAAAACATCTGTCATGAAAAACACAAACAGCAGCCCACCACACATGGGTGCACATGTGACAGGTTCAGAGAGATTTAGTTAATCAGAGTCAGATTTTGGCCTTAAGAGCACCAGATCACCTGGGCCGTAGCCAGAAATATAGAAATACTGAGGTTGTGAGTTCCCTCGGTGCAACCCCAACTCACCAAAAAATCTTTGGTATCAGGTCAAAATATTGTCATACTTTTAAACATCTCAGCGCCAGTTGTCTCAATTATTCTCCTCTCTTCTTATCCCACTGTTGTTACACTAAAAGCTTTGGATGTCATCAATAAAGTGGTAGTCGTAGTTAACTCAAACTTCTGTGCAACATACAGTGCACTCTGTAAGGTTGATACAAGCTTTGGAGCCAGAAACCTAAACCACCAAACATGTCTGACTGTTTCCCCTTTTTTGTTTCATATTTTGTTCAACTGTCCAACTGTCTCTATATTTAATCCCTCTAACATGATGATGTAACAGTTGTTTCCAAGCCTTCTGCACACTGCTTGGAATATAACTCAGGTGTAGAAATATTGAAATAATAATAATATAATATGGATAATAATATTGTTTGTTTGTGTAAAATAGTCTAATTTAAAGAGGTTAAAATGAGCCTTAGATTCAACTTCGCCAGGTTGTTAAATCCCCCATATTCCTACAAAAAATACTGAGGACATGGATAAATGATGTAGCTCTGAAGAACAATAGAAAATAACATTACATTTATCATTCTAAACCTCATACAGTTGTAGATTTTGTAGTAAGCATACAATATAAATGTATTAACGGTAGCTGGATTAGATTTCAACAAAAATGCATAAGGATTTTTTAAAATGCAGATTATGGTTAAAGAGTACTTTATCTTACACCAACTGATGATCTATTTAAGTGCACAAGATCCACTCCTGAGTTACAATTTGGGAAAGAAAAACATAAACAGAGCATAACAGACTTAATCAGCAAAAGCTGTCACACTCCCAAGTTAATGATCACCTTTATTTAGGTCCAATAAGTACAATGGTTGATGTTTATGTTAAATAATACTTCTGAGTCTGAAAAAGACACTCCAGGTCAAAGGTGAGAGCTCAAAAGCAAAAGCAGAAAAGCAAAGCAAAGGTCAAAGTAAACCCTGCATTAAACATTACACATTACAGTCCACAGGTCAGATTAGATGGCACAGTCAAAGGAGACAAAAAGCGATGTTAAAGATGTGACATATCTCCTGTGGATCTTTCTTGAAATCATTGTTAAAGGATGGCTGCCAGAGTATATTCTTGATTAGATTATATTTGTGTCACTGGCCTTTAGTCAGCCTTTCTTCTGGTCTAGTTTATTAAAGCTCTCTCATATCAGCTGACACTCTGATCTCCTGCAGACTCCTGCCAAGTTACTAGAATGAGTTAGCAGAGATTATCCATATGGTCACATTTCTGCACTACTATGAAATCTGCCTCTCTCTCTCTCTCTCTCTCTATATATATATATGTATATATATATAGAGAGAGATACTTAAAAAACAGTAGTGTGGCTGCAGTATAAGACTATAATGTAAAAAGTATTTATGTAATGGCTGCTGCTTTGCCAAGCCTCTCTCATTAGTGAAATTGGGCAGTTATTTCCTGTGGCGTGTTAATCCTGTTGGTGTATTAATGCTGCCATTTCTGCATCAAATCATCCACTGAACACACTGGAAACACCCCTCCAATGTCACTGTAATCATCCTAAGTGTTGATATCAACTAGAAAACAAAGATGCTCTCTTGGCCTGGGCTCTTACACATACAATACCAACATCTGTAATAAAAGTACTGCAACACAAGTCACATTTGGTAGAAGATATAAAGTCACATAGAATAAAGATATATGAAGTAGGAAAATAGCATGTGTGACATAATTTGATTGTTGTTTATTAATTATTATTAGTTGTTGTTGTGGTAGTAAAATTAGAAAACTCTAATATGATGTATTTGAATCTTAAATGTTGTATTTATTTATTTATAAGAGGACAGATACTATAAATAATAGTATTGTGTACATTCAGTTTGACATACAGGTTAAAACTTCTGACAAATAAGACTTCAGCCAGCTAATTATGATTGGAAACCTGTTAAACTGTGGTTTTCACAAATATAACTGATGTAAACAAACATTTTTATAGCATTGTATGGCACCAGAAGACATTTTATTAATTTTTAAATTTATATTGAATCTTAGATTAATTTATTATTTCACTTTATTACTTGGTTGTTCCAGAGGAGGTTCCAGTCCTGTGTTTTGAATTTTGGTGTGAGCTAACCTATGTTATACAGTTGAATCATGGGTTACACGTTTGTTATTAGACTTACAAGTCTTCACTGCCCTCTGCTGGCAAAAAAATAATAATATATCTAGTTAAGAAATAAAAAAATAAATACTTTTAACATGATTCTGAAAATAATAATATTCTCTTTATTTAATAGCATACTAAAACTACAACTATGGGAATATAACTAAATGAGACAAAAGGTATAGTAAATAAACTTAAACCATCAGAAAAGTTACTAGTTACTAATTGGTTGCACTGGTTGTGATAATGTAAATATATTTTAACCTTGTACATGTACAATATCTCAGCACAGCAGGGGTAAGAGGGCTGATATTTATGGCTGCTGTGTGTACTTGTAGATTTCCACCACAAGGTGTCGCCGGTGTCTTGTGGTAAATTAAAAAGTCCCCGGGATGCCTGGCAAGGTTCCGTCTCAGGGAATAAGAGCTGCGTGCAAAAGTTTTTACGTTCATACAGTTATGTAGGCATATTTTACTTCCTTGGCTATATTTGAAAGAAATGAACAGTTTTTTTTTCTTCTTTTCATTAACAGTGTGTGTGTGTGTGGTGTGTGTGGTGTGTGTGTGTGTGTGTGTGGCGCGCGTGTGTGTGCGTGTGTGTGCGTGTGTGTGTGTGGACGGGAGCTGTCCACAACCTCGCTGTGCTGAAATCTCTTCCGCTCCTGCAGCAGTGGCTCGTTAATGACTGGCATTCAGAATTTTAAAAGCTAATATTGTAAACTTTCCCTTAAACAGACAACGAATATACTGACTTTAATATTTAATTTCGCTTAAAAACAGTGCCACTATTATTGCTCCATAGAGACTCAGTTGCGAAAAGTGAGTTTATAGTTGTGATAGTTATATTTGTGGTGTTTAAAGTCTTCTTTAGATTCATATCTGTGTGTGTGTGTGTGTGTGTGTGTGTAACTTGTGTATAATGTGTGTTTGGTATTACTTCTTATCTTAAGATTAACATCGGATAGTTTTCCTTTAGTAAAGATTTATTCCTGCAGATATCTCAGCTCAGTGCGCATACGTTGTGTATATGACTCCATATAGAGACAGTGACGAATGTCTTCATTAACACCAAAGCCAGGAGTCACACACTGCACATTAAGAATAAGAAATCCTCTTTTCTTCCAGGCTCTTGTAAAGGGGGTCGTGATGTGGTGCTCTCTGGCTCTTATTGGTTGAAGTGATTGCTGCCATGGTTGGAAATTAACATAAAAGAGGCAAGTGGCGAAGGGATCCACTTGGGGGCAAGCTGGCGATGCGTCATCGCTCTTGGTGAAAAGGGGAGACAAAAAAAAAGACTAAAATAGCGCCGAACCTCCGGGTTAATGTGCACCAATGGCCACGAAGTCACTCGTGGTCTCAGAACTGAGCGCAAAAGTGCCACAGGTGATAGAAGGTATGGACACGGAGACGAGAGAGCACAAGCGTCCTAGGTGTTGCAAATAAGTATTTAAAAAAAATCGCTTCAAACTAACTTTGCCATGTGAGATTAGCGACCGAAACCTCTGCACGGTGCAGAAATTCTACGATTTCAACACGTCACTTCTCGGGAGATCATGAAACAACATCGGATGTGGCTGAGGCGAGGACAAGTTGAGGAAGCTGAGGAGAGCCATCTTCACCGATGAAAGCAGCCAAGTGCCTCTTCGCCTCTCCCTTTACGCACAGGCGAGGTGAGGACGGAGAGCATCACATCAATGTAGAGAAAACACCAATGAGTCATCCGAGGTGTTGAGAGATCGCCAGCAGACGAGAGAAGCACAACTACATTTTTTTTTTTAAATCAAATTTTTTTTTTTTAAAAGAAAGACACAAAAAACAAAGCACACCATGGATGGAGAAGGAGGATCATCCGGGCTGGTCAAATCAGCCGCCGTAAAACTGTCCGAGATGGGCGAAAGAACCAAGCAGTTAGGCACCGCGATGAAGGATCCTCACCAGCAAAGACGGATCATATTAGTGATTGTTTGCGTGGCTCTCCTGCTGGACAATATGCTCTACATGGTAATCGTGCCAATTATTCCAGACTACCTTGCTGAGCTGGAGAGTGAGCAGTCAGAGCACGTCCACGTAGTGATGCACCCCAACAGTTCAGCCAACAGCACAAGCCAAGACAAAAGCATCAAGGACAATTTAGATGTCCAGATAGGAGTACTTTTTGCATCCAAAGCCATCCTGCAGCTGTTAGTTAACCCGCTGTCGGGAACTTTCATAGACCGGGTCGGATATGACCTTCCACTTTTAATTGGACTGACTGTTATGTTCGTGTCCACTTGCATATTTGCTTTCGGGGAGAACTATGCGACGCTCTTCGCGGCCAGAAGTTTGCAGGGTCTCGGGTCTGCTTTCGCGGACACCTCTGGGATCGCGATGATAGCTGACAAATACACGGAAGAGTCGGAGAGAAGCACGGCGCTGGGCATCGCTCTGGCGTTTATCTCTTTCGGGAGTCTGGTGGCGCCTCCTTTCGGGGGCATCCTGTACGAGTTCGCGGGCAAGAGGGTGCCCTTCATCGTGCTCGCCTGCATTTGCCTGGCGGACGGCTTTCTGCTGCTGACAGTGATGAAGCCGTTCTCCAACAGGACTAGAGAGAACATGCCAGTCGGCACCCCCATGTACAAACTCATGATTGACCCGTACATAGCTGTGGTGGCAGGGGCGCTGACAGTGTGCAACATCCCCCTGGCCTTTCTAGAGCCCACCATAGCCAACTGGATGGAGACCACCATGCACTCCACTCAGTGGGAGATGGGGCTCACCTGGCTCCCAGCCTTCTTCCCTCATGTCCTCGGTGTGTACATAACAGTTAAATTGGCAGCGAAGCATCCCAATTTGCAGTGGTTCTACGGAGCTTTAGGTATGGTTATCATAGGAGCGAGCTCCTGCACAGTCCCTGCATGCAAAACTTTTGGGCAGCTCATCGCCCCGTTGTGCGGCATTTGTTTTGGCATTGCGCTGGTAGACACCGCCCTGCTGCCGACACTTGCGTTTTTAGTTGACGTGCGTCATGTTTCAGTGTATGGTAGTGTTTATGCTATAGCAGATATTTCCTATTCTGTTGCATACGCTATGGGTCCTATAGTAGCCGGCCAGATAGTGCACAATCACGGGTTTGTACAACTTAATCTGGGTATGGGCCTCGTCAATGTGCTTTACGCACCAGCCCTGCTGCTGCTGCGCAACGTGTGCCAAATGAAACCGTCCTACTCGGAGAGAGATAACCTGTTAGAGGAGGCTCCGCAGGGGCTGTACGATACCATCAAGATGGAGGAGAGGAGAGCTAAAAAGAAGGGCTACAGCTCGGCAGGGAATTGCTTGCCAGTAGATGAAAATGGGTTCGACCCCTTCAGAGCACAGCGGTCCTTATCAGAAGAGTCGTCCGGTCCGGAGTACACTTAGACCGGCCGCACTCTGACCGCCCCCTCCCCCCAAAGAAACATTCCCCTGGAGAGATTTGGAGATGAGGCAGGAAGGTCCTAGTCTAGTAATTTAAAACTTTTATGTAAGTACCGATGTGCAATATAAACACCCAATCACCAAAATCATGATTGTGTGACACGTTTTCCAAAGTTTCTTTTTTTCTTCTTTTTGACTGTAATTTCATTGTGTCGAACAAGTCTATGTAGCGTTTGTCATGGACGTGTAACTGGAGTTTTGTGAGAGATTTATCAGCTACTGTTGAATTTGTGTGTATCACTCAGTGTTGTAAAATATATATAAATAGATTAATGTGCGTACAAGATTATATGGGACCAACTATAAGCAGCACATTTCTCCCCCTTACACAAAAATAGCCTATATTTTTAGTCTCTGAGGAAACTTTTTTTACTTGCACAACAAAGGCCTCATTTTGTTTTGTTGTTGTTAAAAAAAAAATCGTGCATTTGAATTTTGTAACAAGTGGGCCTGTTTGTTATTTACTTTTATTTATTTATTTGTTGTTGTTTGAAATTAAATGTATCATAATAAATGGATTTTGTACATATGTGGATATATGCACAATGTAAATTGTTAAAACGTGGACCTCTACAAAGTGTGTGTGTGTGTGTGTTCGTGTGTGTGCGTGTGTGCGCGTGTGTAAGTATGAAACATTTTGTTAAGACGTAGCTAACGAAGTCAGTCTCCTTAAGATGAACAAGTATGTATTCATTTATCAATTGTCGTTTTAATAAATCTCTGTTTTGATCCGTGTGACGGCGGTGATTTCATTCTTATTTCAGGCTTCAAAAGAATAAAAACAAAAAAAGGAATGCGGAACTATAATATATAATAATTATATAATGAATTTAGATTATAAAAAGTGATTCAAATTCCACATTAAAACACCATGGACAGGCAAATCTCATTTAGATTTCATTATGTATTAAATGAAAAATTAATAATGATTGATCCCACATGTTACGGCTCTCTCACGGTGCACAATCACGCACACACAGAAAGGACAGAGTGAGCGCACATTAGCCCTGCTATGAAAACAACAAAAAAACACATAAACGAATAAATCCAAGTGGGAAATAGTTTAGAAATTTGGCGCTACAGCTGCAAAACAGATGAATAAGTATAAGTATGAATTTATAAGTGCATCCCGTATTAAAGCCAGTCTGACAAACTCTGCAGAAAGACTTCAATCTGAACAGTAAACGCATCATAACTGTCACCTTTGTCGACCCGCAGGACCATCACAGGACTGACACTCCAAAAAGCGCCCCTCGCTCCTATTTATATATTAAAATTATTATCGGATGTGGGCAGGGGGGGTTGGGGGAGCAAGCTGTTAGATAATATGTTCCGCGAATAGATTTCGATGGGAGGAGTTTCTTGCCTCAAGGGGGTAGGTAGACGCAAACACCTTCAGCATCTTTTCCAAGGCGCGCTTTAATGTGGAGTCACAGCCGTATGGCGAAGCGAGGGGACGGGGGAGCAGCCCAGCGCCTACACAGAGCTTTACACTAATATGGGATTTCACGGTGTGGACGTGGGAGGCGATGTGAACTTCCACACACTTCTCTGACCTCTCGAGTGGTACGCCGAGCAGGTAAGGCTAACTTCTTTTCTTTTCCAAGTAATATAAAAGTGGGATATTGTGTTTATTGAGAACTTATTGTCCACTGCAGGCGCCTCCCTGGCGCACAGCGAGGAAGATTATTCATCTTAAAAACTAATTTAAGCTACTTAAAAGTACACTTTGCCCTGAAAAGTCATTTTGAAAAGTTTTTTAGTCGTTCATCGTTTAACTTGTTTTCAATCAAACCAACAGGCACCCAGTGATACAGGATTATTACAACGTTATATGTATTTTCGGCTTCAAGATATTTGAACTATTCTATTAAAATTCCTTTAAAAATTGAAACTGTACTGGAAAATAAATACAAATTGTCTCCATTTATTGGCTACAACGTTAATTTCTTTTAGGAAAATTTAAGCTTTTAAGAGAGAAACAGAGATGGAATGAGTTTCTAAGATGCACATCTCTTTGCAGTGGTGAGCGATGAGGCGCAGCTGGAATTCAAGGACATCCAGCAAATTAAATTAGGCTGCAAAATGATGAATGGAAGCCTGCTGGTTCACTTTGAGACAGCACTATGTAGCTCCATTGCTTAATAGGCCTTATTTTATTTACTGTCTTTTTTTATTTTACTTTTCTGCTCTCTTTCCCAAATGTCTTAACATGCTTCGTGCAGGGAGGGCTGAAGTCAGACCGCCTCTACAGGGTTTCCACATTATTTTCCCTTGACTGGACTGGAATTCAAAGATGCCAATCTTGGAGAAAGAGACGGCCAGAGGCCGAGACAGCCAAGTATGAAACTTGTCATTGTTTCTATAGTGAAAGTGTTTTTCTTTGCATCATTCTGTATCTTCACTTTTTAGACGGTTTTAAATAGAAAGCGCTGTCGCTGTCCGTGGTGCTGACAGCGGCAGCTTCACTTACGCTCACTGGCCGCTAGGGGTGAAAATGATGACAGGCCTTTCATCTTTTATGGGTGTAAAACTTCATTCTAGACACTAACACAGTCAGTGGTAAAGGTACATTTACTCAAGTACTGTATTTAAATTCAAATTCGAGGTATTTATACTGAGTATTTCAATTGTATGCAACTTTATTCTTCAACTCCACCACATCACAAAGGCACATATTGTACTTTTTAGTTCACTACATCTTTCTGAAAGTTTTAGTTACTGGTTACTTTTCAGATTACAAATTTGCATAGTCTTCCTGTCCAGTGAAAACTATGTATCTCCAAATTTGGTGACTCTGAGTTTGATTTTTTTCTGATAAACAGATGGATAAAGTGTTATGGGTATTGTCTTTCTTCTCAAGATGAATAAACTTTTAAAAACCTCTTTTGGATTAGCAGAGCCAAAAGCAGGGCTGTGTTTTCTCATGAAAAGCTTGTGGAAAGTCGACTTTTTAGAGATACATGGTTCTCACCATATGTTTAGCGATGCTATGCAATGCAATTGTTGTAGATTATGCCAGTCATCATTATAATTACCTTTAACAACTACAGAAGTGAAATGCAACATACACATTAATGCAACAATAGTATTAATCAGTAACAGTACATTACTGACAGTGACCAGTTTTTTCTAATTTTGCTGATAATACTCACTTACTTTCTAATGCAGTGTTTTCACAGTGTGATATTGCTACTTCTACTTAAGTAAAGGCTCTGACTACTTCTTCTACCACTGGTATTTTTTTGTGAAATCATTTAATCAACATTGAGCCAGTGGTGAATATATAATCCACCACTGGCTATAATGGAGTTTGCATTTTGTTTACTGTGTTTAATTGTTGCAGAATTAAATAAGTTTATTGTTTGTTTTTCCCGGATAACATTTTATACATATACTTACCAAAAACTAACTAAAAACATCTGCACAGTTCCTATTTCCACAGCTTATTTTATAATTCAGTAGTACTGGTCAATATTAACATGTTGGGTTACTAACATTTTGCTAATGATCATACATCAGACAGTAATCAATTTGCATTATCCATCCTTATAAAACAAGAGAGTCCCACGAGGCTATGGGGCTTGAAAACACTTGAAGCACTTAGGATGAATTATTAAGTCAGGTTCTAATATTATAAGCATCAAGAAAAGATGTGAGGGAATTACCTTATTTAACTAATGAACCCTCAGTGAATTGGGGAAAGACATAAAAATGCTGAACAGCTGCTGTCCTTTCATTACACTTTATGAGTATTTATACCAATCTGTTGTTTTTTTTTACATCAGGTGTTGCCAAAGGTCCCTGTGCCACCACTGAAACAAACCCTCGACACGTATTTGAAGTGCGTCCAACACTTGGTAAAAGAGGAGCAGTTTAAGAAAACAAAGGCGATCGTAGAGAAGTTTGGGGCTCCTGGAGGTGTTGGAGAAGTTCTACAAAAGAAGCTCTTAGAGAGGAGGGACAAGACGACCAACTGGGTAAAATCTCAGCTCTAGACGATAAAAAAACACTCTCTTTTTGCTGTAGGGGCATGAACTGGGAAAGAGATGTAAAAAAAGAGCAATATATCAATAAAGATTTTTTATTTTATTTGTTTAATGTTTCTCCTATGTAGCTTTGTTTATCACAAGTTAATTTGGAAAACTTAATACAGTTATTGCAAAATTTGAACCATTTATGATGCAGCATTTTCACTCAGCAACAGTTTTGATTAGGTTTTTTTTGTAATAATAAGGTATCGAACTTTGAATCTGATCTATTCAGTCTGAAAATAAGAATGAAAATTGCCATGGATTGTGACTCAAAGATGATACAATTCTTTAAAAAATATATAACCCATTCATAAAAGAGTTGGGAAAAGTGAAACACCTGGTGATAAAGATTTATTGGAGCCTCTGCTCATCTTTTGTTGCTTCAATGTCTCCTCCTGCGTCTGGGTGATCGGTCAGTCCACAACTCATCCAGCTCAGTGAAATCTATCACGCTCCCACTCTCACACCGACTCTCTCCCACTCTCTTTTTTCTCTTTTCATCTGGCAGTGATGCACTGTAATGGGTTTTTACTCCATTGCACACAGGTCTCAACTCTGAAAGTAATAACTTGAGTCCAAAACGCTTAAGCAACCAACATTTCTCAAAAACCGTCCCTGTGTTTTTATTTAGGTCTATGACTACTGGCTGGAGGACATGTACTTAAACAACAGGTTGGCCCTACCTGTCAACTCCAGTCCTGTCATGGTGTTTCCTAAGCAGACATTCAGAGATCATAAAGATGCCCTCAGGTATGTCCTGGACTTTTGGTTCTACTATTGTTCAAACTGACAACAAAGTGTTTGCATGAGCTGAGCGTTTAACTTTATCCACCCTCCTTCTTTAGCTGTGATACACCAGAGACTCTGATGAAGGTGTTTTTCTGAAAAGACAACTAATGTTTTACTAAAAAAAGACAGCTATTGCGAAATATAAGAGGCAATATGAAAAATATGTAACTGCAACAAAACATTTTCAGTATTGAAATTCAGTATTGAATGTTTCACAGAAAAACTAAGGGTATAAGGTTATAAGGGAATCGACAAAGAATTGGACCAATAAACAGAATCTATAGTGGTATTGGTATCTATAAAATCTTATCAATTCCCATCCCTAGTCACTCAATCAAAGTGAAAGGGCTTCTTTCACCTAACAATTACTTGGTTATTGAAACAGTTGCAGATTCATTATCTGTTGATTGACTAACTGTTTCAGTGCTGTTGACAACAATTTTTCTCTAACCTTGCTGTTACTCTGTACCTGCATTTAAAACCAACAAGCCACACAGTCATGGCACATTCTCAAAGTCATTTCTGGAAATGTAGGAAACCTAAAACTTCCACTAAAAAGCAAATTCTTTATATGACACAATAACTCCCAGAAAACACTCACCAGAGTGTTGGTTGCACATAGCTTGAAAGTGTCAAGTCTTCAAAGGCACTTGTGTAGTGGAAAACATCCACTACACAAAGGTTTAGTTTTCCAACACCATCATTAGAACCATCAACAGTACAAAGTATATCACTCTGCTCTGCAGCCACTGACAGGGTTTATGTTCTTCTCACCACAGACTTACATAAAGATCTGAATTACAGACATGAAGAAAATCACTGGCATCATCTTTTGGGCAAATCTCTGCCTGTTATTAAATGAGCCATGCTCCACCAGACATTACACCAGTCCATTCAGCCCAGTAACTCAACATTAGCTTTTGTCAGCTCGTGCTGCACTAACTGAATATTTCCAGAGCACCCCCAAGCTGGTAATCTACTGACACAGACACTTATTAGATTGGGAGTGACAGGACCAAACTCTCCACAGAGACTGCTAGTCAGGCCTCATTTACGGGTGTGGTGCACTGCGGCCGCCTCCTTTGTATTGATCTGGCTTTAAACGTAATAACACCAAGACAAATGACACACAGCATAAGACCTGGCAGGGCTCTGTGTTTTCCCTATTTGCCCACACCGCCCACTCACACATACAGGCCGGTTCTCTCTCTCTCTCACTAACACAGATAAACACACACACAGCTCGCCCACTGTATCCTAGTAATTTACCATAATGTGATTACTGTTAGTCCTCTGTGAGATGAGAGTATATCTAATTATAATCTGTTTGCTGTGTATGTGCAGTTGTTTTACGGCCAACTCTGCACCCTGTTTTTATTTATTTCAAACTTCTCACTCTTTTAAGATTTGCTGCTCGTCTCATCAGAGGAGTGTTGGAGTATAAGGCTCTCATTGATGCGTAAGTTCAACCTGCAATGGATTACCTGTCGGCTTGCATGTCCTACACCTCATCTCCACAAAGTAAAGTCAGTGAATGTAAGATGAAAAATGAAAAGAAGTATAAGTGTGTGAGTCCTCACGGGTAATTTGATGTATGTAATAATGTCTCTCAGGCGAGCGCTGCCAGTGGATTTTGCTCGAGGTCAACTTGCTGGGACTCCTCTGTGCATGGAGCAGTACTATCGCCTCTTCACCTCCTACCGCTACCCGGGGCTAAAGTCAGACGCGCTGAAGGTCCAGATGAACGCAGCCTCATCGGTGCCAGAGCACATCATCGTGGCGTGCAAGAACCAGGTCAGGACGCTGGCTCTGAGGACACTTTTCGCACCACATCACACTTCCCACTGAAGACTGTGTCCTGTCCATTTGAGGGAAAATATAAATGTAAATGTAAGGATGTTTTAATAGTGTATTCAGTTTAATAATAGATGCTGAAAGGTGAAAGTTTGTCAGTACCTCACATCAGATATAAACCAACTTGAATTGGTTTGGAGGTCTTTCTCTTACCTTTCTCTGAATTCACCACTACATGCAACAATACTAGCCTCCAGTGCAGATAAACTATTCCATCATCAGATTTCAAAGTATAGGATCTTTCTGACCATCTAAACAGGCTATAACAGATACCATCTTTGAATGTAAGGTGTTACAGATATAGGGGCTTGACCATTTGCATTCAACTGAAAAAGTCAAACCTCCACCCTACTCAACCTCACCTGCCATCAAAAGTTTGTTTTCCAGTAACAAAATAGACCAGTTTATAAAATGCTTAATTACAAACATGTCTCAAAGGACTTTAAAGTGGGTGAGCTTGCATACATTAAACAAATAAGCAGTTAATGATAAAAAATATGTAATACAGTTTTCAGAAGGGAGCAACAATATGCAAGACACAACATACTACACTGAAAAAGTAGCTCACCAACTGCCTCTTTATCATCTTACAGATGCTTTGTATACAGGGTAATATGACAATATTAGTGGGTAATCATTTGACTGATTTTATCAATAATTTACATTTCTAAATGGATATGAGAGTAAGTATGCATGGCTGCATTTTATAGTTTCAGACTGAAATAATGTGCCTTTATAAAATTTGCAATGCATCAAGTTTCTAGGGAAGTTAATCTTTCTATTTGAATATTTAAAATAACACTTTGCAATGGTCATGTTTGCATCTTATCTCCCTTTCTGAGCTACAGCAAAGCCTCATGAAAGCCGCAGGAGTTTTTTTTTTTTTCAAATTTAGAGTATGGTGGAAGCTAAATGTTGTGCTGCCATATGTGGATCATATCAACAGTTGTTCTTCAGTCACGACTGAGCAAGTTTCAACACCAAAAACTTAGTAGTAAAGTAAGAAGACATACAAGTGTACCTCTGGTCTGAACATAGTTGCTATCATTACAGACCAAAGCAGACAAAATATTAAATACTGTTTAATTAATTTGGCACAGCAAGGATAAAGATTTTAGGTAATTGGTGACCATATATATTTTTAAGATACATTCATATACATTACATGGTCCTAGTCACACATGCAAAATGTGCATTTTCTGTGTTTCTTAACTAATGGTTAAAGTCAAAACTAAAGGTTTTAATCCAGTGGTTACAAATTAAGTGGTTGTCTAGTTGAGTGTTGTGTGAGTTTGTTTCTTTAAGAGCGTACTAGCCCACTCCTGCAATCCCCTGTACCAAGCCATCCTTCGTCCAATCTGTCGATTTCCCAGAAATCCTCAATAGAGTTTTCCATAAATACATAAAACAACTACTGCCAACATCTGCAGGTCCAAGGCTACTATTTTAGATTGTGACTTTAAATTACCACAGAAAAGGGCACAGTAGGAGCTATAACATGTAAAACACTATCAATCTGCAGCACATAAGGGCCTGTCCCCATGGAGATACAGACCGTTAACTCAATTACTGTTGATTAAATCTGCCACTTCCTTGAATCAGATGTTTAACTGATTGAAGTAGGGAAGCCATATATACAGCATTCCCTGTACTATTATTGCTAGTGTCCTAATTATCTCAGATATTTATACGCTGTACCACAGTAGCAATTAACTCAGATATAAAATACTGTTAGCAGGCAAGAACATATTTAAAAAAAAAAATTTCCCTATTAAAATTGCACCAGGTGATAAAGTGGAATAGTTAAGAAACTCATGACTTCTATCATCTGTTTTTCTCACTAGTTTTTCGTGTTGGATGTAGTCGCAAACAGCAAGCAGCTCAATGAGACGGAGATCTTGTCCCAGCTGGAGAAAATCATTAAAATGGCAGAAAACGCTGAAGAGAGACTTCCTCCTTTTGGTATCCTGACCTCTGACGGGAGAACAGAATGGGCACAAGCCAGAGATGCATTAATAAAAGGTTTCAGCTCAAATATTTCTCCAACTGTTATCATTTTCAGAAGTTTGAAACAACTGTAAACAAGTTTAAGAAAAATAAACCAAGATATATCTCATCTACTTCGCTCCTCTATCCAGATCAAACCAACAGGGACTCTCTGGCCCTGATTGAGAGCTGCATGTGTGTGGTGTGTCTGGATGAGCCCAGTGGCCTGGAGCCTAGGGATACCACCAGGGCTCTGCTTATGCTGCACGGTGGCGGACGTGAGAAGAATGGGGCAAACCGCTGGTATGACAAGTCAATGCAGGTAGGACTACGTACGAGGCACTTCAAATCCTCCATGGATGTAGATTTTGGTCTATTAGCTAATCCACCTTTCCTCAGTTTGTTGTAGGAATGGATGGGGTATGTGGAGTCGTGTGCGAGCACTCGCCATTTGAGGGAATTGTTCTGGTGCAGTGCTCTGAATATGTGATGAAATACATGTAAGTCAGTCACTGAATATTGTTGTCTCAATGCATGTTGCTGAGGCCAACAGTGAAGGAAGTGGTGTTGTTGTCCTGAACAGAACAGGGAGTCCATCTAAAATGGTGAGAGCGTCCAGTATCAGAGAGCTTCCCCCTCCAAGAAGGCTGCTCTGGAAGTGTAACCCACCCATCCAAGGACACTTAGCAGCTGCTGGAGACAGATTGCAGAGGTAAGACCAACACAAACTAACACAAAACATATCAGGTAAGTCTATAGACATTCAGTCTCATGTCTTCTGTGCTTTTTCCTTCAGACTGGTGAATAACCTTGACATGGATGTTTTCAAGTTCAAAGTTTATGGGAAAGAATTCATCAAAAAACAGAAGATGAGCCCAGATGCATTCATACAAGTTGCCTTACAACTTGCATTTTTCAAGTAAAGTACTTTCATAATCTACATCTTCAAATTGTATTAAATAAATCTTAATATGATTATATATATGATATTTCAAATATGCTGATATATTGTCATGATCCCATCCGTCATATTCAGATGCAGTGGAAGGCTCGTGTCCACTTATGAGAGTGCATCCATTCGGCGTTTCCAAGAAGGTCGGGTTGATAACATTCGCTCTGCCACCCCTGAGGCCCTGGCCTTTGTGAAGTCCATGACAGATGAGAGGGCCACTTTCACCGTGAGTCATTTTTCTCACTTTGATCCCCAATTACTGAGTAACTCCCACATTACTGTTCATCACACCTGCTTAAATGAAACAGGTGCAACCCAGCCGCCTGGGCACGCCAATCCCCATTCAAACAGATGATCCCCCTGCAGATTTAATGGGTCTATGAAAAGTACATTTACTGGCTGTCTGGTTCTCTTTTTGTACGATGTGAAAAATGCCTTTTATTTAGTTTTTTCTCTAAATAATTTTTTTCATTTTTCAACAGGATTCAGAAAAAATGAAACGATTGAGGGATGCAATTAATGCCCAGACAAATTATACAATTGCAGTAAGTATTATATATATATATATAT